CTTGTTACATTTTGCTTTGGTATCTGGATTAAACAAAGGTGGACAATAAGTATTACTTTTTATGTAATACATTTGTAGCAGATTATACATAATTCATTAATTATGTTTGCAATAAAGGGGGATTATAAATATAGCATTATTACATGGTTTTGATAACACTAAATAAAGGAATTGCAAGCGCAGTTTAGGTTTTTTGAGAAAGATTTCTTGGCACACTAAATACCAGTGATCAAACTACATTTTCTTCATTTTGTACCTCTTTCATTGTTTCATTATATTTCGTTTAACTTTCTTTGTTTCTTTTGATTAAAAAGAATGATTTCTATTTTCTAAAGTGAATATCATAATTATTACATAATTATGATGGTCAGTATTTTAAACAAAAGAATTGATGCAAAAAATATTTTAGTGACTCTGTAACTACTTGCAGTAAAAAATGAACTTTACATCACTTGTTTTTTTATTCACAGATCAGTTGTGGATGAATAAATATGCTGTATTAAAATCCTTTTCATTTAACAAATTTGAAAGAGTGCAGTGTTTGTGTTTGATCTACAGTTGTGAGTTTTTTTCTCACCATAAAATTCAGAGATGTCACTATACTGTAACATTGGCTTTGGTGGTGGTAGCCTACTGACAATATAAAATGCTAACGTAAAATGTGTTCTAACTGCTGTAAAAAGCAGAGCAACAAATAATTGTAATGTGTGTTTGAAATTATTTTTAAAACGGTTTAAGTAATTTTAAATTTGTTCAGTTTTTAGATGTGTGCTGTCTTTTTTAGAGTAAAACATAGACATAACGATGTAACGTTTCGTAGCTAATAACTAGTTTTACTGTTTTCATTAGCTAACGTTACCTGTAGCCTAGTAACGTCGCTATTTTAGCTAAGAGGTTTTATGGTTATGAATTTTTGAAGGAGACTGATAATTAATGTTACATATGCCAAATAGGAGCACAGATTTAAGAATTGTGAGAAAAGCATAGCCTAAAGTTTAATGTTCTGTTTCATGCTCTGTTTTTAAAATGCAAGAACGCATCCTGTGTGTTGTTTGGAACCAAATGATGCCAAAAAATGCTGCTCGCGCCTTAAGATTCACGTTTGTCCTAAGACATTCTGCCCCATAATGCTTTATTGGTATGCAGCTCACAATGTTTTGAGACACCGCCAGTGTGTTTGGCGTAATACTGGGATGTAGCAGCAGCACTACTCGCGTAATAAATCAGCGTTGTTTAATATCATGGGCGGGAGCTTCGCTTCTCCCACGCTACTCACACACACACTCACACACAGTTATTCCAACGCTCTGGAAAACACTGCTGGAGAACAAGAGCAACAATGTGGACTACAGCTCTTACGTTATGTAAGTTTTGTTTATCAGTAGGCTATTCTTCCATTAATAAATACAACCGCCACTGGTTTTCATTTGATACAGCTTATGTTTGACTAAGAGTTTGATTTTGTCCAAGATTTATTATTGTTTTTAACATTACCAGATGTTTTGGATTTTGGGTTCTGTAAGGTAGGCTACCAGTACATGGAGTACAAAGTTGTTTACAGTGCTTAAAAGTTCTTAACAGGATTCAAAACAAATTTTAGTTCCAACCTGAAACTTTATCTCACTCATTATCTTTTTTTTTTTTTTTTTCTAAAGTAGAAAAGAAGGGAAAGAAAGGTCCAGTATGCGGTAGATTTGTAAAGTGTGTGGTCCAAAATCAGTATTCAACAATGTAAACTTTTTAAGGTTTGGTGTTGCATAGTGTCAAGTTTGATGTCTTGGGTTCTTATAAGTATTCAAACTATTTATAGTTCTAATTTGAAACTTTGTTTGTCTTATTATTTCTAATTTTAAGTATAAAAGTAGAGGAAGAATGGTTCAGTATGCAGTATTTGTGAAATTTTATTTGGTCCAAAATCAGTATCCATTATAAATGTATTTATATAGTGTCAGGTATAGTGTTTAAAGATTTATGTGCGTCTCATCCGTTTTCCTGCCTGCCACATTTAACTCTCCATCAGGTCAATAAGCGTTCCCATGTGATATTCATTTCAATAACTAGGAACAGACTCTACTAGAAGCCAAAATGATTAACCATGCATAGTTCACAAAATGTTTCAGTGATGTAATAGTTTACACATTAAAATGAAATAGAATGGATGAGTTACATAACTATCTTACTGTTCTATCTATCTATCTATCTATCTATCTATCTATCTATCTATCTATCTATCTATCTATCTATCTATCTATCTATCTCGATCCATCGATCTAGACTTTAATGTAAGTGACTGTAGAAATATTCACAGAGGCAATATGTATGACAACTGACCTCAGTCTGCCCTATAAATGAACTTTCATTGTACTGTATTTTAGCATAATGTGATAATACCTATATGATTCCCGTAGCCATTGCTTTGCACACCCTGGCACAATCACCTGATCACAATGACAAGTGCGCAGAGGGGAGCTGTTACCCCTCTACGGGTGATTTGCTGATAGGGAGAGCACATCGGCTTACTGCTTCCTCCACCTGCGGACTGGATGGACCGGAGACATTCTGCATCGTGAGCCATTTGCAGGTAATGCAACAAACCTACATCATGTACTATAAAAGACAAACATGCAAATATATCACAAACCCATGATATGTTAAATTGGTTTAAATACAAAATACTGATAAAATACTATATATATATATTGTTAAATACAAAACACTGATTAAAAAAAACAATATATATATATATGCACAATATAATGATAATGTGAATAATAATGTGAACTCATGTGATGCTTAAACTTTTCTGTTATATACACCCAGATTTTTTAATATAAATATACTTGTTTTCTTCAGTTATTTTCTCTGTCTATCGTACATGACTTATATACAAAAATGTTATTATAATAAATATGAATGATTGTATTACAATGAAGTGAATCACAATTGAAAATAATGAGAAAAACACAAAGTAAAACATCCAAACGCATTGCAGTAATGATCGTTTTGGGGTAAGGAAATCTGATTGGCATGAAATAAATGTTACAATATCTTTCATCAAAGTTATACATGAATTTTGAACAATACCCGTTCTTGTCTTAGGACAACTTTGATTAACTTTTTTGATCCGCTTTAAATTTGACTAATTTATATATATATATATCTTTTTCAGTTATTTTCTCCATGTCGTACACATGCCGTATATAACCTAAAAACATCTGTGTGATTTGATCATAATCTTTCCATATGTTGTTGGGTGGGTAACACAGCATTCGTTTTGTCTTCCCACATTCACTGTCTGATGAACAATCGAATCACTGTGTGAAGAGTATGTGGTGGGAGGATAAAGGACCCTGTCAGATGTTCCAGACCCCTTTAGGCCACTGTTTTGCACTTTACACTATCTGTGTGGCCATCAGAATAAAAGTCTGACTGTAAAAATGCCAACAAGTGATATGCTTGTGATTTAAACTATGTGTAGGCTAGATAGGATCTGGAACTCAACCGTCCAACACATCTAGCATACGCAATTTTGGTTATCTGGATTTGTAAATATTAGATGCTATCAAACCTTAAAATTTAGGAAATAGTTTACACAAAAAGGAAAACATCTACTCAGCTTTATGACATTACAAATCCTTATGACTTTCTTTCTTCTGTGGAGTGCAGAAGGAGATGTTTTGCCCTGGTTGCTCTTTTCCTTATAATGAAAAGTATCCAATGTATCATTAATTAGTCCATGGGTTCATGCGCTATATTTCTTTTGAAGTCATACAATATAGGTTTTTGTGAGAAAAGGACCAAAATTTAAGTCAAAATCTTGCCCTCTGCCATTGATTTCAAATCTCATTTACACTTAAGCATACTCAAACTTGTAAACAGACTTATAATTATGAATAATATTTCAGAGCTTCAGTGGGAGGGAATGTCATCAGTATCAATATCACAGCAAAATACAGACATGGTTGAAAGACTTTCACTTCCATTTTCACTTTCATTGAAAAGAAAATGACCAGGAAATTCTGAAACCTTTTCTGCTTATGTTGTTATGCGTGACCAAGTTAGTTAGATTTAGCCTGTGTGAGTTTTGCCGTGCACACATGTGTTTATGTTGGTGAGTAATGCCCATGAGAGGGTGATAAAAACAGGTGCACATCAAGAAAAAATCTGGATTCCTGCTGTCCGCATAAATGCGTTTTTCATTCCGCCAACCCCCAAAAGACTCTATATGTCTCACATGCTCCAATAACATCTGCATCTCGATCTCTGTCCATTGTCAGGAGAAGAAGAACTGTTTTGAATGCGATTCCCGACGGATGTACAATGAGGTCACCTCCCCCAACAGCCACACCATCGAGAATGTGGTGACAGCCTTCACTCCCAACCGCCTCAAAACCTGGTGGCAGTCCGAGAACGGTGAGTTCTCGCACAACAATAAGAACAATCACAAATAATCTCATCGGTATTTCAGTTTTTTCTCCTACACAGATTCCTCAGATTTTCATATGTCTCTTTTAGACATTTACAAGTGATTTCAACAATGTCTCAAACTAAGCTCAGATGTTCAAAGATAGTTGCATTCAAAAGTTGGATCTCATATGAAATAAAATATTTCTCATCAAATTCTTCCAAGGCCAAATTAACTGAGCTTTGCTATTCACGTTTTCATGGCTCTGTATTCTGACTGTATGCCAGCAGTTGTCTCATTTGTGTGTATTTTTACCAGGAATTTTAAGAGGGAACACCTGATACAAAGTTGATACTTTAAGGGATACTGTAGTTCACCCAAAAATGAAAATTCTATTTTATATCTATATTTTGAGAAATGTCTGTGTTTTTTGAACATGTGTAGTCAATGGTCACCAAAATTGTTTCCTTACCAACATTCTTCCAAAATATTACCATAATGTTACCAAAATGTATTCTTTTGTGTTCCAAAGAAGAAAGAAATGCATAAAGATTTGGAATGACATGAGAGTGAGTAAATGATCATTAATTTGATA